ATATATATATATAAAGGCAAAGTTCTGAAGCAACTATCTCATCTTGACACCGCTCTTGGTGAATGTGCCGCCCGTCCTTGTGGCACACCAATTCCAATATGTGTAACTTGTCTTTCCGCGTTTTCTGCCTTCACTTTGTTCCTCTCATTGTCTCGCTTCCGCCAATTCTCTCGCATTTCGGTTGGTGTTTGGCGCTTTTCGTATGTTTTCTAATGGTCTCTCCTTTGGGTTTCTGCGGAGCATTTGTGTTACTGCGGCTGGGCATCCCATCGATTCCTTTTACCGCGCAATGAGTACTTGCCTATCAGTAGCCGCATTTTGTAGTCACAGCTACGTCAATAGCAACGGTAGCAGTTAGATTCATTGTTGTAGCCGATTGCGGGGGACATAATAACACTGATCACTGATTACCACCAGCTGCCTCGGCCTCCATAATAATCTCTTCAGGCTCAGGGAATTTGTAGTTTTTGAACTCGAAATCCTCTGGTCGCATCTGGTGGATAGTCTGAAGATGTGTGCGCAGGTTTCCAGGCCAATTGAACATTTTTTGACAGATCACGCACTCGAACCTGATCATATTCCGTATTCAGCATCAAAAAGGGGAAAAGAAAAGGAACAACACCATATGCAAAGGAGAAAGTCACGTTATTCGATAGGCAATGCTATTTCAGCACACACTATAAGATATACTGAATACTTAATTTGTTAGTATTCAGCCTTGTATGTCTGTAATATAGTGTGACGTCAAGCTTCATCTATAGTACGTTGGTCATGGCCAAAAAAAATGTTGATCATTAACAAATTTGTATTTACACAATGGGATAGTGCAGACACGATCTAATTCCACCAACGTTGTTTTGATTTCTCTTACTATTGATATTACCCATGGCCGTAGTGATGATGAAAATTGTTCGCACTTACCTCCTATTGAAGGGTTTATGCATGAGCATATGTCGTCTCATTGAATGCTTCGTTGAGTAGGACTTTTTACAGATGGGGCACTGATTATCCGTAGGTACCTGAGTGCCCGGCCGACTCATTTGCCCAAGATCCAACTGCGATCGAAAGGAAGTTAAAATGACTCTTATAAAATGTTGACGATTTTAAGTTGCGAACGATTGAAAATTACGAGGGTTGGGCTAAAACTACGTACATTGTGTAGGCCTGCCGTCATCAGAGAACCAATGCAGGCGACGGCAGCACTTGTATAATTAAATATGTATGCGCAACGAACTTCAATATATTATTGTGAGGTATTGTCGTAATGAGTTAAACTTAGCTGTTATTTGCTAAACATCGACGGTTCAATTAATACAAACTAATAGGTAACAGTTTGGACTCAAACATACGGAGATACTAACCTTTCCCTTCGCGCTTTGCATTGAATTGAGGTAGCTATTGTATCGAGTGATAAATTCATCAACGTTTCCATCCTCGACCTCATCGACTATCTCCTTCTTGATCGTGTTCGCATTGAGGATAACCCCCTGATCCGAATCCGTGTTAACAGACTCCCTCTTGACCGTACCTGTAGTTTACACATACGGAACATAGCCACGGGGCAGACGACGATGCACGCACAAAACGCCAGAACACGCGTCCCCCAGGTCCGCACATCGCACAACCGCATTCACGCACAGTAGACGTTCACGACGACGACGACGACGACGACGACGACGACGACGACGACGACGACGACGACGACGACGACGACGACGACGACGATGACGACGACAACGACAACGGCGAAAACAACGGCGGCCATAAACAATAATCAGACGTTCACACCGATATCCGTACACGACAACAGAGAAGGACAGAAGAAAATCACAGATCGCCACAACACAGAAACGTGTTGGACCTCGAGTTAGTTTCGGCTGACTGTTATACGTCCGGGCGAGGGATAGTGTTAACCTATTCTGCCGTCTGGTTTATTCTTTCTACACAATTCTATTCGGATGGCTACAACTAGTCATTGATTGTAGTCCGGCAATGAGATTCTCTTACGACCCTGACAAAACTTTCTCGCTCGCCAAGTCTCGAAATGTGACTTAAAAACCAGTCCCAACGTTTGACTCGAGTATTGTGTATCTGTTTATTTATCTCGTTCTTCTTCTTCTGTGAGCTTGCTTGTCTGTTGGCGGTTCCGTCTGAAAGCCACGAGGGACCGGCGAGACGGAGACGACGATCTCGCGCGCTTATTTTCTATGCTGCGGGCAGACAGGGCCTGATAACCAGATGACATGGGCCAGCGGTGAATGCGGATGACCGCGCTCTCTGCAGACCGGAGAGCACTAAGAACACGAATATAGCAGGAGCGTTTCAGGATAAGATACGCAGCAGCAGCAGCAGCAGCAGTAGTAGCAGCAGGATAAGTAGGTAGTAGCCAATTACAAGGTTGTCTATTCGTCGCTGCACACAGAAACGAACGCCGACTTGCGATCACTGACGACTAACGCAACATGTCTGCACTTTGCCTCCTGTCACACGGTATATGTTGAGGGGTTACAGGAAGTCGCTACGAACGAAACGGTGGGTTATCGGTAGCACACTAGCTAAAAAAAGGCAGAAAAGAATATTGGTACGACTACGAGCAGCAGACACAAAAGCGGTTCCGACAATAGCGACACAACAATAATCACGACGAGCGTGTGCGGCGATCGCCGCTGCCCCGTTACTGCCAAGAGAGGCCACGTACTCAGAGATTGTAAATTGCCTGATGAAATGCCGCACCATGCGCAACAGACTAAGTAAGCAACGTGAGCTGACCAACAGCGTTGCTGCGTTATGCGGCCTCTACGGTCCACGGAGATTCGTGACGGGAAACGGAATGGCACAGCCGACACGCTCGCGCCAACATGGCGAAAAGTGGTATGTATGACTGTTTCACGTTAGCAAGGTCCGATTATTACGTATTTTCATATAGTGAACGTCATTACGTATCGATTACAAAGCAGAGCTAGCCACGCTAGTAGCGACCGAAGGGAGCGACAATATTTCTACTTCGTGCAGCAGTTTCGCGCGTCTTGTCCACCCCTTATGCATGAGGCGCACACCGAGTCAGAGTAATCGTAGAGTACATAAGTGCTTCTCGGCTTTATCTTGTCACCAAATGCCAGCGGCGAGGAGATAACACATTTCAATAGGGACAAAATGTGGAGAAGTCGGGAGGAGGGCAAAGGGGCAGGGGGAACAAGGGATGAGCAGTTGGATATAATAGCGGAGGCCGCCATCGACAAGAGCCTCTCCTCCAAATGGATATCAGTCTCAAGACGTCTCTTAGTCTTTCATGGGAAGACGCCAAAGAACATCAGACGAAACGGGAAAATGCTCAATGTCCAATTCGCAGACTAATTCGGGGGCATGATTCTATGTCCAATAAACGAGGTTTATGTAGAACTGAAGAAAAAATCATTGGTTATTCACAAGGACCTGCTCAAGAAAATAAAGGAAGCTCAACGAACCTTTGGGGGGCGCCTAAAACTCGTTCAATAGGAAAACGGCTATTGATATCTTCTTGGAAGTTGTGCAAGTTACAAAGCCTCAATAATAGTAGACTGAGGAATACGCGAAAGGTCAAGCGAAAAGCAGTTTAGTAGACAGGAACGCGCCACTTTTGCAGAGTGTTCAAACAAACAGACACATCTACGGCATATTTTCATATGCACAACTGCTCGACCAGGGCGACGAACTATTCGCGATCTGAACATATCGCCAGTTAAGGCAGTAATCCTTCCGTTAAACCCCAACAACTGACGCCAATCAGCGCACCGGCGTTCGAAACCAGGGGGGCACCTTCGGGTATATGAAGAACGTACTTACGGTACATATGTTCTGATGTCGTTGTGTTCGCTGGCGTTGATTGCCTTTGCTGGTCCTGTGGCAGTTCGATTAGCTGGTGGATTGCTTCCGGTCGGTTTGGGGTGCCCCACCGATGCCGTCAGCGTTAGTAGCAGTGGCTACGGCATTGTAACTCCGGCATTGTTGGCCGTAAGCACCTCTTCTGCCAGATATCGTGATGGCAGACACACTTTTGAGCGGAGGTCGCTATTGCTCGCCGTTGCTGGTTGGGGGACGCCGGCTGGTGCCTGCATGTGCCGCCTCTACAGTTCACAACGAGGCAACTCGTAGATAACAGATCCATAAAAGGAGCAAGCAAACGGCAGACGAACCGATGAGGGCCTACCCCAAAGAGTTCAACCACCTCCGGTGCCCCTGGCCTCCGTCGCTACTCAACCGTACGATTGTTCCATCCTACCACGCGGCCACTGTTACTGCAGCAATTGCTGCTGCTGCTGCCACTGCCGTCAAACAGCTTCAGCTTGAACTTTTGAGCAAACTGTAACGACGGGGCTGCAGGCACAACCGCGCGACGAGGCGGCGACGCTTAAGAAGAATTACTACGAGCGCCGCGCTCTCATTCGAAAATAGCATTCCAACATACCATGTACAGCCGGACCGACACAATCATCGCTGTTGCTGCGGATGATGATGATGATGGAAGTGGCAGCAACGGCGACTGGTGCCCGACGTTAAGCCCAATTCGTCTTCCTGTCAACCAGCACAGTTTACGTTGATGCACGCCGCTGCCCCGGACGTCGCTGGCTAAAGTCAATGCTGGTAGCTATGGACAGTCAACACGATCGATGAGGAGTAGCCGATAGCGCACCTTCGGAGGAGAACCATGAGAAACGGAATGGTACCAGCGAATAGTACCAATCAGCTAGCCTTGTTCCCGATACCCCATCTGCTGACCGGTCGTTCGATCTCTCTTCTCCCATTCTTTTGCTTCTCCATTGGCTGAACCTTTGTTATCCGCTGTTGGCCCCTCCATGCCCATATTCAGTTAATGGACTGTCGTTATCAGGTAGCGTTGCCTGTGCTTGCCCCTTTCTTGGTTGCTTTGACTATCCGTAAAGTCGTAGCAGCAGCAGCAGCAGTAGTAGTAATAGTAGCAGCAATGTAGAACGGAGCAGACGGGCGGAGTCCATGCCGGCAACAGACAGTCGCGATACCGAGTTAGTCAACGGCAGCGGCGACAGCAAGAACGACAACACACACACATAAAAGCCACGGCTTGCCTGCCCTATGACTGGCGCTGGCCTGCTGATGGCTTCAGCAGGCACCGCCAAACGTCACTGTTGTGCACGCAGCGCCGTCGCCAGCCAAATGCGAGTATCTTGCTAGCGGCAACACCCCTCGAGGAGCGAGACACTGAGCAATCTAGTCAGCTTTGTCCCGGCGAACAACGGCAGTGATTGGAGCAAATAAGGAGAATGGGGACGAGATACATCTACGACGGAGGAAGGACAGAGGCTCACGGCGCAGACGGTGGCAGCGCAGGGAAGAGAGAAGCAAGCAGTTCCTTTTTGTGCTAGCATTATCAGAGCTCTGTACCCCTGTTTCGTAGCAGCCTTCTCAATCGCGATGACGTTAGCGCCGATGCTAGTAGCTACAATGACAACGGCGATTCGAACGAAAGCAACAGCGAGCGCGGCAGCAACAACAAAGTTCACTATCGTTGTTTCTGTTGCATAGACTCTGTGGCAGCCACCTGCCCCTGTGGTGCATTCTGTTAAGTTGCCATGTGTTTGCGTGTTGGTGCCAGTCGCCGCCAAGAGCCGTGTCAGCCACACATCGGTAGCAATGATAGTACGCACGAGCTGCACCACTCCATCTGTCGAGGGCAAGCAAAAGTTACAACGCCAAACGCAGAACCGCCAGCGCAGAGTGCGATAGCAGGAAGATCAACAGACAACAGCCACAGATCCCGACCGAAAATAGTAGAACGCCCAGTCGACGCTGCGGTGTGTAGTGATGGACAGCGGCGGCGGCGGCGGCGGCGACGGCGACAGCCGTCAACCACTCGGGGGGGAGAATCTTTTGGATTTGTTTCTTGTTTATTTCATCCCCCTCGTCTTGCTTGGCAAACGCACCGTTGCCAACAGGAGGATGCCGTTTGAATCCTCCGAACAGCAGCAGCGGCGGCGGTAGCGAATGGATTCGCTGTTGCTTCATACCGCTGCCGTCTTCGTCTGTATCTCGATTAGTAGAAAGCCAGCCAACCAGGCAGACAGGCAGGTCGATTTATTTGATACAACGAGAAAAGTCTGGATATATAAATACTCTAAAAGATTTTATTTTACCATCGGCAAGACATTTATCGGTAGACACTCAAAAAGCTTTGACGATAGAGAAAGTTACATTTGATAAAAGGTCGCCATAACATTCGCTAGAACAGAAACACTATCCTCTGCCTTATCTGCCAATTATTATTGCTATATATTATACAAACACATATGTGTGCGTAATTTCGTTTGCAAGAGACGACATTCACTAGAAATGCATCACTACCAGGTTATTCTTAATTCAAACAACAGTCATTTACATTCCAGCAATGGACATTTGTAGAAAAAGGGTCCTAAAACACCATCAAGAAGTCAATAAACATTGTTGCGACGGGTTACCTAACACCGTGTTCAACCAAACGTAGGTAGAGAACTTCACAAAGTAAGTTAACAGATTGAATTGTATTGCGGAGAGAAACAAGAACACCTCTTATAAGCTAACACTGAAAGACAAAGACAGGAAACAAATCCAAATGATGTTTTTAACGAAGATAATTAAAAAAAAAAAACAAAAAAAAAAACAGAGAACAAATATGGTCAACAGTAGGAAACATGGAATAAAATCAAAATGCCCCATTAATAAATAGCAAGGTAAAAAAAAATAGAAAACAAAGATATACTTGCGTCTGACGACGAGTGACAGAACGAACATATGATCACGTGAGCACCAACGTAAAGGGGGCCACGCACAGCGTCAACTGATTTAACCAAAACAGGGGAACATCTGGTTGTGCTGATGGCTGTAGTGATGATGGTGGCATAAAAAATGTGTGGGCTATTGGTTATGTTTTCATCGATAATGTTCAAGTTATTTCTTATAAGAGATGTGTACCGAGCCTTTTACTAGCTCTGTTTTTTCGAAATAATAACAGATTTGGGAACGAGATACCTTCCGCGAGCTAACATGTCTTTCTTCTGGCTTAGACCAACTATGTTTCTACGCAACAGCATATATATATATGTATATATGGCAGTTGACTGTTTCTACATACTATTATAACTGATACAATAAGTATACAACTTTGAGATCTTATATCCGCTGTCCGCCAAATTGTAAATCTGTATGTATTTTAACGATATTTTTTTGTAGGAAATGACTAATATATATATATATATTAGTCTATATATATATATATATATATATATATATATATGTATATATATATGGATTAGGAATACAAGGGGGTATAGGGGACCGGTCGATGGATGGTTGGTGGCTGGGTGATTTGAATAGGATGATGACACAGGCAGGTTGCACACTGCAAAATCAACTGTTAAAAACTCTGGGGAAAAAACAAAAAAGAACAACAAAGAAGAACGCATGCGTTAGCTGCTGAATTGTGATGCGCGACATGGCTAGGAAACCGTCAAGTGACCGTCTAAAACGACGGCTGCCATCCCCTTTGGAACTTGTACTCGGACTTTGAATTGTCAAAGAGCTTGAAACACAAACGCTCTGAAATGAGAACACACAGTTAGAGACTGTCATTATACGTACACTCGCCTTATACCTCATTTCTATACCTATCAAAATTTTACGTGCGTGTACGCCGAACGAAGGACGGTAGAGAGAGAGAGAGAGAGAGAGTAAAAGGAGTCATCCTGTCCAGTTCTTTAGCCGCAAGAACGATGACCGCGATGCCTAAGAAATCGCATAGGAAAAATAAATAACAAACATGACCAGTTGAAGTTAGTAAGTACCGGGTAAGTGTGACCCGGTGTTTTCCTACTATGGAAAGCCAACACCAAGCAATGATTTAAACTTAAGTAAATAAAAATGTCAAAGAAAATCTGAACAGCTGAAATTACGTACAATCGAGGTAATTTTTATTACGTAGACACTAAAATTGATAGAAAATGAAGACATATATTAACTTGATATGAAATAAAATTTATTAAAATAATGTTACCACTTACGTAATATATATATATACACACACATTCATTTGCACTACGAGGACCCCGTTGGAACAAAAAATGGAATCTCACCATATGCAAATAGATATTCAGCTGTTACCGCGCGATGTCCTGACCCATTGAAAATAATGGGCAGTAGCAGCTGGCTAATTAGTAATACTAATAAAGATAAGCAAAACGTTGAAAACGATTACACCCATTATTTTTATTATTAAAGTACATTCGCGCATGTATTTTTCTTCTCCTTTAATAATAAGGCAAAATAATATATGAATCGATTACGTTCATTTAATAATTTAATTAAAATAATTCAGGTTCGTGGAGAAGAAAAGTTCACAACGTAAGGTCGTCACTGGTAGAACCTAATCATCTGATTATGGCAGCTCGTCGGGTAAAACAGACAAAAAAACCCATTGTAAGAAATATCAGAAAATAAAGCGCATAAATATAGTATTCCTTTCTGTACCTTCAGAAAGAGTCTCAATTAGGATTCTGTTTTTGGGGGCTTAATTTTTGGGCGGTATTTTCAAACAGCAAAAGATCGAAACGCCATATTTTTTTCACTTCCACGCCACAAAAAAATACGCAGTACACAGAATGCCAGCATCGTCATCCAACGGGGTCACTCCACCTTCGCCGGAGGAGATCTTTCTTAATGTACAAATGAAATTACAATCATTTCATTATTTTATATAT